AGGGATTTATCTAGTCTATGTTAGAAGGAGGAGGCAAAGAAAACGCACTCCTCTCTCTCCCCCTCTCTCTCTCCCCCTCTCTATCTCTCCCTCTCTCTATCTCTCCCTCCGTTTTCTGGATGTGAAGCAGCATGCGGCCCGGTGAGAGCTTAGAGGGCTCGCGCTCGGCTCGGGGAAGATGTATTGATGTTAATAATATTACTAATAGCAGCACGGAACGCTTTCTCGCGCACCCCTCGTCCGCTATGAAGAGGGGTACGACGAAGAGGAGGATGAGAGGGACGAAGGAGAGTATGTCGGACGGAGGAATGACGGTGATGCGCTGTTTTCTGTGGAGTCTCCTTCTCTGCTCGCTCTCCTCGCGTGCGCAAGGTAAGGGGATGCGACACGCGCACATACACATACACAGAGTCACGCACGCCACGCGCAGTCATACAAACGCCTTCACTCACGCGCGCACATTGGCTGTTTTGGGGTGAGACTGGCTGCTGGAGTTTTTTTCTCTACTGCAGTCTGAAGAAAGATGCTGCTTCTTCCGTGCGTGTGTGGGGTAAAGGAGGAGAGAGTGTGTGTGTGTGAGGGTGTCTGCGTGCGCGTGAGGATGTCTGTGAGGTGTCTGTGCATGTGTGTGAGTGATAGGGGAGGTGTGCGTGCGCTGATGTATGGTGTGTTGCGGATGAAAGAGGAGAAATATAAATTGGCTTACAGGGAGGATGAAGGGAGAGAAGAAGAGAGGGATGGAACCGGCAACAGCCTCTTTCCCTCTTCCCTCATTTTCTGCTTGCTTCAGTTTGCTCTCTCTCTTGCTCTCTACCTTGCTCTCTCGCTCTCACCCTCTATCCCTCTCTCACCCACTCTCTCTCTCCATCCTTCTCTTCAATACAGCCATTGAGCTGGTAGCCAATAAATATTCTTGCGGTAGCTCTTGGGCTGTGGCAGCGAACGTGAGCTGCTTATACCAAAGTGTGTGCGGGAGTGTGTTTGCCTCAGTGCGTGTGTGTGTGTTAGTGCATGTGTGTGAACGTGAGTAGTTTTTTAGTGATGAGGCCTGAGCCTTACACGGCATTTAATTCCCCAAATGTCTACCCCCTTGCCCATTTGTTCATCATACTGTTGACAAATGTTGTATAATGGTGGTGTCTCCCCCTCTCTCTAGCACACACTTTCTTACTTTGCCCCCCCCCCCCCTCTCCTCTCTGTCTCGCTTCTCCCCTCTTTCCTTTTTGAGTGAAATAAAATGTTAAAATATTCACGGTATGCCACACTCTCTGCCACTTTTTTTGTCTGTCTGTATCTCGGTATTCCTCTGCTTTCCAATTTTAGTTACTCTCTCTGATCCTATTCAAAAAAGCTTTATGGACACGCATTGAGTGAGATCACACGCAGCCTAAAGTATATACACACTCACACAAACACACCCTTTGCTGTGTCAGGTGATGTTTTATTGGTATAAACACTAACTGATCATTTGTCATCGTGACTTGAGAAGAGGAAGTGAGAGGAGGATGGAGTGGAGGAAAAGAGGCAAAAGATGGATTGGGAGAAAGAAATAGCAGCGATGAAGTTGAAAGAAAATGGGCGTATGAGGAAGTTAGGCAGGAGGAGAGGAATAAGGAAATGAGTTGATTGAAGGATAAATAAAGAAAGGCCTAGTTTAGAGACTCAAGCAGTACTAGCTTTTTAACTCAACACCCACCAATTTCTATAAGCTTCTGACAACACCAAGCCAGGTTGATTTGTCTGTTAAGAGTCTGTTTGTTATTTTTTGTAAATTGTGCAAGAAGTATAAGGAAACAACTTTGTGGAGGCTATTGAAATCCATTTGTCTTTGCCATTGTAAAGTCCACATGATCCTCCAGTGCAGGGGGTCATGTGTAGGCTGACGGAAACAAAATGGATTTCTAAGGCGATAAAACATATCGACACCGGAAACGTCTAGACTCCTAGCGTTGCACCTTAGTTTCACTTTGAAAGAAAACAGGAATATCCATCCTTTTTGTATCATATTTGGAAAGGTGGTTCACTCTGATGGACAGATGAGAGGTTGTGATCCGAGGGTGTCAAAGGAACAAAGACACGAAAGGTGGGATCTTCTCAGGCACAAAAGATCTAGTTTTAAACCCTTGGGGGCACATATCTTGGTACTGATCTCCTTGTGGCTGTCTAGCCTGTGAGAGAGACCTCATATAATCAGATCATTTGAAACTCCTTGTGGTATAATATGGTCAAGGCTGGCTGAAGAAGTGTTTTAGTATAATGCAAATTCACATTAGGATTGATAAAATGTCAAAGGTTGTTGGCGTTTGAAAAGCAAGCAAGCAGAACAAACGCTTTTTTTCCCTCTAAAGTGTCAGGGCTGAACAGAAAGGTAAATAAATGTGTAATTAAATGTCCCCTTGATCCATGCTGGCATTTTGGGGACCAAGGCTTTAAAAAGAGGCTGTAAAATTAAAACCAGCCACCAGCCAAATGCTGTTACATTTTGGCCGTGGCTGGTGAATTAGTCTACTCTACCGACCCTTGGCAGGTAACCAATCATTGTATGGACCTGCAATTTTATTCTAAAAAACAATCCAAGGGGTAAAGTAATGAAATAGGTGGTAATGGATTCACATGCTGCTGTAGCTAGTGGACAAAAACGTACATTTTTAAACTTGCTTAACACATTTGACACTGGGATACAGTGCCATTTCTAAACATATTTGATCATAATAGGTTTTAAGTGAGTGTGTCCTCCACAAAGTCTATGTGCAATAAAAGAGGACACTATTTTAGATGGCTGATTAAGGGTTTCAACTTGCTTTGGACCCTATCTGTGGCTCTGATAAGTTCTTGTATTTTTGTACATGACTTGTAATTTGAAAAATACAAAGTTCACGTCAAAAAATGAACCTCAAATGAAGTTTGCCCACTAAGTCAGATGCTGAAAAATTGCTGTACTTGTCCTCTGCTCTTCCTCTCCCCCTCTGATCCCCTCTTGTCTGTTTCATGCTCTCCTCCCTGCTGCTCCACTCAGCTTAACTCCACCTCTCCTCTCTCCCCCTCTCATGTCCCCTCTGTTTTCCTCTCCTCTGCTCAGCACTTCTTCTGTGCTCTCATCTCTCCTCCGGGCTCCCTGTCTTCTTTTCGTCTGTCAGATTTGTCCTGTGGCTCCAGAGGCTTAATTTACTCACCAAACATACTAAATCTCACATGTGCTCACGAGACAAAACCCACACACATTTCTCACCGTCTCCAAGGCTCCTACCATATGATTTATTGGCTACATTCAGCCTGTCACAATACAACCGAGAGCTGTCTCACACCTTACAAACTGCGACTTTTGAACCAGATCTGTGTTTGAGCTTAGTATTACCATTTCACAGGTTTTTACTGACACTGTGGATTCCATCCGCACTCAATCAAAGGACTAACACTGATCAATCATCCAGCACTAATGATCTATTTCTATTAGGCAGGTGGGTAATCTATTAGTGGTCATCGGTAGGGTACGGCATTCAAACAGGTTCTTCTCATAAGGTTAATCTTTAGCATGTGATCAAGTAATCAAACCAGAAGGCTAAAAATAGCTAATTCAATTTATATTGACGAGCCATGGAAATGTAAGGCTTTGTTCTTGGTTAAATTGAAATGTATCAGTCATCCCTTGGAAGTGTCTCATAATTGAATGCTGGTCATCAGTGTTGAATTGGACAGGCTGTCAGTGAAATGGTCCTCGAACCAGGTTTTATAACCCATCACTGAGTATCAGAGATTGATCGGTGCAGTCTACAACTCTGATGTTGATTATAAGTCATTGATTGATGCTGCCCATTAATACGCCGCTGCTAATCATTTACCTGTGTAAGTTACTGGATGGGCATTTTAGTATCATTCTCTGCTGTCAATGATCGATTGATATTCCATGTATTATTTATGAAATGGTTTATTAGTGAGCTTTGAGGCCACAAAAAAATAATGCCGGCATTAGCAAGCACAGGGGCAGTACATCTCTTTGTCTTTATCTGCTGGATTCACACACACACAGAAATGCATTTGGGCTAATAGTACACTGTGTACACACACGGAGGCAGACGAGCACTCTCTGAACATTAGCGCAACACAGCCTCTCTAACACACATTTAATCCTGTGGCTTATGGCTGGTTTCTCGGGGAGCGAGATGTGTCTGTCGCAGAGTCAGCCTCTTGATCATATAAATACTTTTGACTTACTCAGAGAGAGAAAGAGAGAGAGAAGAGGGAAGGAGGGGGGAGGTGATACTGGGAAAGAAGGAGGCATAATGCATATACATACCTATTTAATTCATTTTGTGCTGTTGTGTTTTCAGCTACATTCTCTCCTCCTCTGACCCTCTTGACTTTCATTCATCTAATCCTCTCCTGCAGTTCCAACCCCTACAGTGAATTTGTAATTACTTGTTTTTTCCTGCTATTTAACCTCCTCTCCTCCTTCCCCCGTTCTCCTGATTTGCGTTACTGTCTACATTAATAACCAATTTCAGAAGAATAATGGCATAGTGTTGCACAAGGACATGTACAGGTGCAGAGTGTTCTTCAACCCCAGAGACCACGGATCACATTCCAGGTCATACTTGAGGCTAATGTTGGCATTTTTGATCATTAACCAAAAGCACAAGCTTCCCTTAACATTTACACATATCCTTTCTCAAATGCAGAGACCCAAAGATTGAACCAACATGGCAGTGAACGCTTACCAGATACATTCAATATGAACACATCTGGTTTAGTATGATGTATGTAAAATATGTTGGTATTGATCATTTTCTAAATATTTTGATCATGATATTTTTGTCTAATGGTGATCTTGGTGGCATTTATTGTCTTTCCATTCCTAGTTTTCCTAATACAAAATATTTGCGAATCAAGAAAATTGCAATTCAATTATAGTTCTCCCATTACACCTACTTCTAGTTAATTTGTATTCCTTTGTATTGCCTTGCAAATCCTTGTTCTTTGGTGTTACTACACTGAAAAAAAGGACTTTTTGGCTTTGTAAATATTACTTTGATTATATGTTTAAATTCTACAATACATTAGTATTTCAGTAATTTTACTCCAAATGTCTCCTTTTATTTAATGTGTTACTTGTGTTTCTATGTAATTTTGAATCTTCATTTTGATAAGTGAATTTTAACAATAGCACCAAGTAAATATTACCTAAATTATTGTATTGACTGTACAACCTGTTAAAGCTATTAAAATGTACATGGGAAATGCAAGTTAACTGTGGGTGACGTCATAGGAGAGTATTTCCCGCACGTTGCCCCCGCAGACATGCACGGCCAGTCTACTCAGAAGGTTGACATTTGAGTGGAACTTGAAGACTGCTTGGTCAACCATTTCATTTGAATATTCATCGATGTGGAGTCATGTGAGTATGTTTATGTGCTTGGTTAACTTGTTATATTCCTATTAGCTTGTCAGCTGAAGTCAGTATTTGGTTATTAAAAATGTAAGGCTAAGTTAGCTAACATTAGCTGGTTAACTAGCTCATTATCGTGCTAGCAAACTTAGCCCGGTTTCATGCAAGTTGCACACATCAGATATAATATTTTTTTTTTAATGGCTTATTTGAAGCTTCAAAGTTGTCGGCTACGACAACATTCGCCGTTTATAATGGAAACTATGGCGCACTTTTAAAAATTTGAATAGTTTTTTATTTCGGGAGAGGGGGGTGTTCATGGCTCCAGCTCGACAAAAGAAATACTCAACAGTATGTGCGACGCTACGTGATGCGGTCAGTTTCACTGCAGCCTAGAGAAGGACAAAGTGGTCAAGGAATATTATATTTGCAATTAAATATGAACAGCGCGATTTAAAAGGTAAGTGTGTCTGTGTGTTTGCCTCGATGGATTCACTGTTGGCGCTTTTCCAGTGCAGCACTTAGCACAGTTTGGTTTGACCCGGCCCGTAACAACATACTGATACCGGTTAGTAAAAACCATGAATTAATGCTTTGACAAGTCTGCGTTTTGTACTTGTTTCACTTTTGTCTAGTTTCTGAACAAATATGAGGAGCTGTGAGCTCTGAGTGCTAACAGCTAACGGCTGATGTTCCGGTGTGAACGCGGCTATTGAAGATTCCTGCAGTACAGGAAGTGACGATCCTGAACACGTTTTTTTCCCGGCCCCCCGAAGGACTCATCACGGAGGTGATGAGTCCGCTCACCATGCACTTTGGGTCGGCCTTGGTCAAGCCCTTTTGACCCCCCCAGCCTGGTTCTCGTAAAAGCCATTTTTCGCTCAAATGATACCATGGAGGAATGTAACGGGAGTTGACAGGGGACTCTCCCCGCCTCACGAGTGCCTATTTTCGGACACTTTTTTTCACATTTTCCCCGGTTCTATTCATTTTTATTTTGTTGGCTATTTCACCCGGTTCCTTCTAACTGGGACACTGCCCGGTCCGGGTGTCCCCCCACGGCCAGTGTCCAGCCCCCCCTCCCACTCATCCATATATTAACAGATTTTGACATGTTTTGTTGCATTTTTCTCCTCTCCGCTCTGTGATCGAATGGCAAACGCGACCCACCATGCCCACGGCCTAGTTCTGCTGCTCTGGCGGTTGGTTCTTCCGAACTGCGGGTTCGACTCTGATGACCGGGAGGGTGTGCTGCGTTGGGGTGGGGGACTTCCCCCACTTTGCGTGTCTCTTCCTTCCCGGCCGGCCGACGACGCACGGTCTGACGGGTCCCACCACGGGTCCCACGGGTCCCACCACGGGTCCCGCAGCGGGGTAGAGGTTCAGGGCTGGAACCTCCCCACCTCCGCCGCGGTGCACCCGGCCAACACGGTTGTTTGTCGAACCCGCCACTGTTGTCTAGCGGGTGTAACTATACAAGATATCGTTATTTATTTATATAAAAAAAAAATATATATATATATATATATATATATATATATATATATATAATAAGTGTCATTGCGATTTTATTTTGTATTAGCGTGCATTTCCTGTTCGGAAAGTGGTGCTGTACTGAGAGTAAACAATACAATTGAAACAGTTGAGGGGAACGTGCACCTTTTGCACACAAACAAATTGCGTTTGTTTTGCTAATGTACCATTAGCTCCTGGGTTTTAGGCGGCGGAAGTGACGTAATCTGCCACCCAGGACAAGAGATAAAAATAACGCCATACTCAGAGAATGTATTCCTACGGTTTAAAACACATTATTGTACATTAAAGTTACATTCTGATGATTAGTGACATTTCATTTTATTTATTTCATTATTTGAAAAACAAAACACTTTCCACTAGGGAGGAAAAGGTCGGCGCCCTTTATTGACCAGCCGCCACTGATAACAATACTATTTCTGTGTCTCATATATATTCATCCTTTCATATATATATATATATATATATATATATATATTCATCCTTTTTTACTTTATATTAATTGCAATGTCTTCTATAGTAACAGTGACTTTAATGATATAGGGCTAACTAGATGTGCTTGCATTATGTTAGCTAATCATGCTTATCTGTTCCCTTCCCTTTTCAGTTTTGTTTTTGTTCTTAGGCAACATTTCATTTGATGGTTGGTGTTTTCCTCCAGCAGCCTGTTGAAATTACAGTGCCCTCTCACTGTACAACAGCATCAAGTTACAACAGCAAGACAAGACACCTGACCATGGAGGTAACTTTACAAATAATTGTATATTGTGTAGGGCTAGGTAAATTAAAAAAGTCGTCAAAACCAACATTCTTAATCTGTTACCGACCAAATTTCAGTCACATCGATAAGTTATGTGGTCACACTTAGTCTTCAGCCAACACCATACAAACAAAGCTAAATGTAAATACTGTCGAAAAATAGCAGATTAGCACAGCCTTTAAGTAGCGTTTAGTGTGCATTGGGTGGCGGAGGAAGGGAGATGGTGTGGCAGAGCTCAGAGAGGTATAAATTCTGCTGTCTGAGTAAATGTAGTGATACATTTACTCAAATTTGAAAAACACAAGGAGGTTAAGAAGCTATGGATAAAGCAGTTATGAAGAACCGGAGGTCTGTCATTGTATTGAAGGGTTGTATTTTGGATAAAAGTATTATTACGTTATTTTTACTTTGCGTATTGATTAGCCTTGAATGCAGTGACAAGTTGTATGTATACATGTGTGATAGAATTATTTTTTTAAATAACATTTTACATGATAAAAATGGCTCTGAATGTATATTGATGTGTTCATATTTAAGCAATAAATTGCAAGACAGTAAGTTCTGTAATTTACATAATTAATTTATAATGTACTTTCTATATATTTCACAGGTTACCAAGGGAAATTGAGTCATTCAGCAATTTTGTCTTCGACAGCTAATGCAGAGTAAGTTGATCAACTCAGTACTGTTAGAAGTTTAAGTTGACATAAATGTTTTTGTAACATGGTTTAGTTTCAAGAGGTTTAAAGATTGAATTAATTTGTGTTTTTTTCAGATTCCACTAGATGGGTGTGCAAAACATGTAGCTTTGAATCTAACAAAAGGACAGGATTGTTAAAGCACTACAGGCTAAAACATGTAAATGGTTTTAAGTTAAATGTTTATCAACTCATTTGTATGCACAGCTTGATCCTGCTTTGCATCCTTGCACCTAGTTGGTGCCTTCTTTTGTAGCAGGTTCAATTGACCATTACGCAACATCTTTTGCTTTCTCTCTACAATAATGTACTTGTCTGTTTTAACAGCTACATGTAGAAGATAGACGAGATGCCATCATCCGCTGCTTGATGGAGTTCCTTGGAGAGTACAGAGGAACTCATCAAAGACTACCAGGTAAATGTTCTGATGATTGTTGTATCCATAAACATGTTGTCTGTTCTTCAATATTTGTAAATGGATATCTCTACAGGTTAGTGACTCATGCTAGTATGTGGAAAAGGCATGTCTTTTTAATTAAGTTTAACATTTAGATGAAATAAATTGGTATTTAATATATTTAAAATAAAAGCAAACATTTTACTTTATTCCATTCATTCTTTTTTTCATTCTTTCTCTAATGATCTTTTTTTACATTCTGATTCATAATTTGGTTTTCAGTAGAATTGAAGATTTGAGCCTTTAAACCTCCGATCCCACCTCATTTTTGCTAAACTGAATCCAGTACTATACCAGCTTTTACTTCCTGCTTGGAACAGAGCAGCTTTTTTAAACCAAGAAATAAAAAGTGACTACAAATTCCCTACATAACTTACCTCGTCTTTATCTACAAAAGGAAAGGAACTATAAAATCAATAGTTAGTTAAATACTAGGGCTGAACGATTAAAAAAAAAAGATGTAATTGCAATTATTTTAACTGATATTGCAATTGCGATATCAGGAAATGATCATCATTATTCTCATTTTCATTGAAACCTTTTTAAATGATCATGGTGTGATTTTTGCGAGGATTTGTAGCAAACAAAAATGTTTTCTTTAGACTGTAGAATATGATGTGTAGGCATCTCTGCAGCACGACAATATTACATTTAAAATGCTACTTTGACACACATTTTTCCTTTTACAAATATCGCACCTGCTGCGATTTGAAAATTGTTGTAGGCAATATTGCAGTTTCGATAACATTTTGATTGATTGTCCAGCACTTTAACCTAATGAATCACCTTTTGCATATTCAGTCACTTAAAAGAAAACATGTACAGTATAGTGTATCTCAACACCAATTCACATGTTTTGACAGGATGTGAGCAAAGAAATCGTCAGAGAGGACTATGCTGAGCACGTCATGAAAATAGTTGTCCTCCGTGGAAGTGCAGCACACGAAGGCCCTGCCGATGTGTCCATCATCATCGAGGGAAGTGAGGTTCTTGATGACTGCAGATGTGTGTCAAAGGCTTGCCTTCTGCTCATGGGCTTCATATATGCAATGAACTTAAGTTATCCACCGAAGATGAAATACACTTTTGAGGTATTTCAGAAGCTCTTTCTTGAGCTAAATGTCCTGAAGATGTCTCCAAAAGTCCATGCATTGTGCAACAAACTTGTAGCCTAAATGTATGCAAAGGTGTTTCTTCAACTTGCAGTTCAGAGGAAATACTTGGTATTTATGGTGTCTAGCAACAGTGACCTTTTTCATATGTTTTGCCTGAGCCCACTTTGTACAACTACATGTTTTGTATATTGTTAAGATAATGTTTCAAAACCTTGTTTAGGGGGTTCTTGACACAGCACTTTTTAGTTTCCCCTGGAAACAGTTTCATTTGTTGTGCTTTGAGTATTTGCAGCTCAATGAGGCACATGTCAAATTGGTGAAGATTTTTTCTTCATTTGATTGTGTTTTGTATGTTTTCTTGAGTGCGTTGAATTCTCAGGGCCACTGTACAACTTCATATTGTGTAATTATTCTCTATAACCAGGGGTGCACACAACTTTCTCAGTGAGGTACTCAGATGAGTACCTGGAGTCAGTGTTTGGTACTCCAACTTCTGGCGATTTATTTATATAAAAACGGGGGGGGGGCGGGTAGTGGAGTACAGAGCTTCGGAGCTACAGAGTGTGCACGTTGTGATCAGCTGTTTTAGCGCAGGGCTGCTGTACAGACCGACGTTAACAGCAGCCCTGTCTGTGCACACGGAGACACGGTGATCTAACCGCCTTCTGGAAAAGCTTCACATGTACGTCGGTACGCAAATGCGCTTTGTGACACATGTGACGGTACGCATTTCAGATTGTTGCCGCGCATGCGTACCTGCGTACCAGTTATGTGCACCCCTGTCTATAACACTAAAAGCAAGGGATGTCAGGGATGAGTGATTGCACTTAGTTTTCTTGCAAAGTCATTGTACTGTATAGATGTGCTGAATATGATCAGGGCCACATGTGATTTTTTTTTTTAAGTCGGAATTCTGACTTGAAAACTAAAATAATTAATGTTTTGAGCATGGCCCTAATCCTATTCCATAAAAATGACACTTTTGTAAATGTCATTGGACATTTTATCTGAGATGTACTGAAATAGATCACTGTGAATTCTGTCCTCAGGATCAGCCAGAGAATGTTGTTTTAAGAATGTTTCATCTTCACTGAGACTATCGGTAAAAAGTGTTCTAACCATTCTGTTTAGCTGCACCGATGTAGGTGCTGTGTGCACCAGATTGCATATGTTTAAACCATTGTAAACTGTTGCTTAGTCCTGGCTGGTACCAGTGTTTCAAAACATAAAGTTGCTGTTTTAAAGAGTACATTGTTTCATGTTTTGTATGCCCATATTTAACAGGGTATTGCTGTTAAAGGTAGAATACATATTATGTAAATATTACTTATATATTTAAGTAAAAAATACTATGCAATAGTGAGTACACTTTTAAATAGAAGAAGAAATATTATGTAAATATTACTTATATATTTAAGTAAAAAATACTATGCAATAGTGAGTACACTTAAATAGAAGACGAAATATTATGTAAATATTACTTATATATTTAAGTAAAAAATACTATGCAATAGTGAGTAAAATTAAATAGAAGAAGAAATATTATGTAAATATTACTTATATATTTAAGTAAAAAATACTATGCAATAGTGAGTACACTTAAATAACAAAAACAGAAAGCACAGTAAAGTTTACTTGTGTACCTGTTGTTAGAAACACTTCTGAACTGTAAGTAGAATTTACTTGAAATATAGGTTGTTAAATTTACTTACAATTTCTGCGTGGAATATTGTTACAGAGGTTTTTCTAAGTAAATGTCACTCCACTTTTTTTTCAGTGTACAGTAGTAGCACTGGGAACTCTCCTCTTAAGTAGTGAGCAAGTTTCTGATTTGCTGTGTATATTAATATTCTTGATATTTGGCTACTCTATATTCATTTGTTCCTGCTCTCCATCCATCTTCCTCCACCCCTAATCGCCTGCTCTTCTTCTCTTCCTGCCTCCTCCCACCAACATTCACCCACACTGAATTTGTAATCACATCCTGCATCTACCATCTCTCATTTTTCTTTCCTTCCTCTTTTTTCTCTCCTCCATTAGTCTTTCCTCTCCTCTGCCCTCTCCTCTCTCCATCCTCTGCCCTCAGATCATTTATTATTAGTCTTGATTGTAATAGGTACTCACGGGGTGCATATTTGATCCTCTCTCATGTTTGTTTTCACTCATAGCCTTCAAACAGGGTGCATCTGGTTGGTTTTTAAACAACTCCAAATATTTCCTATTTTCTGTTTGCCTGCTTTGGCTTTCAAAATATCAGCTTGCTCTTATTGAACAGACTGCTAGATTGAAAAGAAGTGATCATTTCCCCATGCAAAGTTCCCGAGTGCACTCCAGTGAGCAGTTCCAGCTGTTACCCGGCCCTGTGGATCCATAACAGCTTTTTATATACAATTGAGCTTTTCCACCCAGGTCTAGTGCAACTGTGCACGTACAGGCTGGTGTCATAATTATAAGCATAATTCATCATAATTGAATGCAAAGACATTGTGGCGTCCTGCAGGAGCCATCAGGAAAGATAACTCTGCTGTGCACTGACTGTTAACAAATGATGGAATTCTAGGAAGTATATTTTGTATTTGTCCCTAGTGGATTTTGTCACTGAAACTTTATTTTAATTACGTGTGTTTCATCCAAAATTCCACAAAATGCACATGTACGCAAGCAAACACAACTCGAATGCGTTACTTAAATCACTATGAAGCGTTCAAATTTGAAACACGGCTCTGATTAAAGGCCCGTCAAATTGGGAAAATCAACTCTGTTTCGCATTTATTCAGAAGGTGACTTTTCGCAGATATCTTGGAGGTTTCTGAAAAACGCAGGCTTTTTGTATGTGAGCACACACACACACACACACATACACACACATAGCCTCAGACACGCTTACATTGTACACAATCTGTCAGTCTTCCATAGCCTCTTCATTATTTCAAAGATGATTAGAAGCAGTCATGACGTGAACATGTTGAATGGGCACACACACACACACAAAAATGTTTGGCATATAAAGATAGCATGTGTTACCCTGAGGATGGGACCGCAAATAGACAGCCACACACACACATGCGCACACACCTACACACACACTCAGAATCTTACGTGATGCAGGAAAGGCAGATGAGAAATTAACAAAGACAGACAGTTTCACATCCAGCTGGTGCTCGCTGTTTGTGTATGTGTCAGAGATGTTTGTGTCAGGCTAATCTGTGTTAAGAAAAATGAGGGAGTGAAGGAAGAGTCTTTTAATCTAGGATGGGAGTTAGTATTGAAATTGGAAATAGTGTGTAGGAATGCTTCCATATAGATGGATGGGAATATAAAGACACGTGTTGGTCAAAGGGTTTGATCCCTAGTGACAGACAGTCTGTCCCAGTCAGACTGTCCTTGAGGGAGACACTGATGCCCTTAATGACCCTGGGCTCCCTGGGAAAAATACATGCAGTAGCTAAAAAACGAAATTCCTTCAAGACCCACCAAGACTGAAATGACCCAATTAATGCAGAATATTAGGAAAGAGAACAGGTTGTTGGTTAGTCTTGAAAGCAGGATGTGTTCATGACAAAAGCTCCTCATGTCGATGTCATGGTAACCTAAGAATACTTTGGGCTAAATGCATTCGGTGCCAGTCCACTTTGCCTCTGATCTTTACCCATTTAAGTATATTGGCTGCCAGTGTCTTCACTTCCTTCTATGTTGCTCTGGTTCCTTCTAAGGAAGATATTGCCAAATTAAGCAGGTGTTTTGTTGATCCTAAAGCCAACAAATGGCTGAAATGACAATAAAGACAAAGAGCCTCGATAATTTTACTCCTAATTATTGACAGTGTGATTTAAAGGGGACCAATCATGCAAAATGCACTTGTGTACGTCTTTTATACATGAATATGTGTCCCCGGTGTTCCAGGGAACTCACCAAGTGTCAGAAAACACAACCCTCTCTATTTTCCTCCATACCCAAATCTCTAAAAAAGGGGCTTCAACGGATCTGATAAAAACTGATCCAGATTTGAACACTGTCCTGACGTCAGGACGGTGGCGCTACGGCTATTGGGCCAACTCCACCAATCAGGAGGAGACAGCCACGGCCATTGCCGTTCGAAAGCTCTGGAGACGCTGTAGTACATATGCCAGGCCTGTAAGTGGCGCTGTAGTCTGCCACAAAAGCAGCGAAGAAGACTTCCCGCCCATAGTTACCATGGTTACCCTTCTGTTTATTCTCCGCTGTGGCTTTTTTTCTCCCTCCCCGAGGCAAGCGTTTGCTCCTGCTGCAATGCAATCCCTCCCCGTCGTGGCAAGCACTGTAATTCTCTCCGGTTAGTCCACCAGCAGATGACAAACACCCACCTCTCCGCCTCTTCCAAGGAACGAGGGGACCGTGCGGCAGAGTTTCAGTTTCAGTTTGTTTCGCCGGTCAAGATGTCCGTTAAAGTTGAAATCTTCCGGACAAAATTAGAAAAGTGCCGGTCAAAGGTCTTCTTTGTTATTTATTGAGCTTTAAAACAAATGAATAACGACTCTATATAATAAAACACGGAGGACGGAGATCTCTTTTTCTCCCCCTCTTCTGACAGCCCAGCAGCTGATCAGAGCACGTCTCCCCTCTCCTGCAGGGGGGCGTGGTCAGCAGAATCAGACCCGTAGACAGCAAACAGCACATTGAGCGAAATGAGGCATGGCTAAAATGCATGATCTGTTTGGTATTTTGAAAACAGAAACGTATAAATATACCTTATATAGGTATGGCCCTACAATATATCATTTAAATATAGCATGATAGGTCCACTTTAAGCATTACAATATTTTTTAATTGATAACAAATTAGTTGAGAGCAATATATTATCGTCATAGAGGGTATTGAAAACCCCATTTAACAGCTTGCGATTAACATGAAACACATTTTGAATGCTTTTTTCACACTGAATGTTAGGAGAGTGCATTCACTTCAACAACTTAACACATTTTAAAATTGTGTTCGACATAATGATGTTTCACCACTACAAGCACATCATGTCTCATTTAGCAACCTGTTAGCAACAGCTTTTATAAAGTCAGGTA